TATATATATATATATATATATATATATATATATATATATATATATATATATATATATATATATATATATTCATTTGTTTAATCGCTCTGATCTGTCGTGGAGCTTAGCGGAATGGGTTCTGGGTAATCATAACTGAGAAACTAAGACCCAGTTTTGGGAAGTAAGCATAAATGGTGCCGAATCAGGTTGCTGTCTCCTGATAATTCCTTGGTTTAAACCTTGCTGCTAAGTGAAAAGAGGTTCCTTTAGCTAGTGAGTTACGTTGCACATTTGCATTCATTCCACCGTAACTCGTGATAAGTGGAGATTATCTGTCGTTCTATTGACTTCAATGTTTCTTACAATAGACGCGTAGTATAAACCTTTAAATCGTTGACCGCTCAGGTTGTTTGCATTTGGGGTTGTGCGTCGACGTTTCTGCTATTCAAATACCTATTTCTCGTATGCACATCAACTTCATATCACTCAACCGGCGTTGCCGCACTGGTATTAAATCTTTCTTATTTTACGCCAGTGTTTGCATTTGTGTGACGGTAAAGTTTTCCATGCTTCCAGATTTTCTTCACTTCGATATTCGATAGCTTCAATACCCTGGCATTTAAAAGCCGAACTGTATTGCCAAATAAGAATCCGTCATTGGACCATCCCATAAATTATACCTTCACACCAATAAATTGGTGTTTCTCAAGGTCGGATAATTTTCACGCTCTATGTCACATATCGAACGTCGCATTCCGTTCAACTGTATATAAGTGTGTTTGTGTACTGTGTGCCTGGTTGTCTGTCTCAGTAAACTTCTGTCTGATCTCTTTGTTGCACAAATCAATCAACCATGTGATCCGTATCACGGGGTTACCCAGTGCAAGCGTACCTGAATCGACCGTTCATTTTCGTCTAAACAGCTGACTGTTTTGTTTGGGATTTGATTGTCTGCATTTCCATCCTCAAGATCACTCGAATTTTGAGGTTTTATTCGGGCGAGAATTCATCTGCAAAGTGTTTTTTCTCTTGCCCACAAGGGCGAGGTGAACTTGGGCTTATCTCGAGGTAAACCAAGGTAGACACTGACGCTACCATGCTCCTGTTATGCGTGTCGTGGCTATTTTCCAACTGAATACAGAATATTTCGGAGATCGACGAATCCATCATGACGCAGTAAACCGATGTTTCTGAGCTAGAATTTGGCTTTGTTCAGCTGAGGGTCTTGAATCGACCTGTCGTTGTTTACTAAATAAGCAAATCGTCCAAAAATATCATGTTCCGTTGACTGCAAATCAGCCACTGGTTTGTACTGTCCTTAAAGAATGAATAATGTTTTAGTTTACGGGTGAGCGTTGGGAATGAGTAAGTGTATCATTGTTTCTCTTTAAGATACNTAAGATACAATGCAACAATCAGTTTGAGTAAAGAAATGACGCGGAGCTGAATAAAAATAGTGAAAATTGTTCACCGAAATGCGGTTTGTGGGGGTGTAATTACAAAGCAATTGCGGAGCATTGGAACGGTGATTAGCTAGAAGAAGCACGAATTTTTTCTTGATATTATGTCATTTCGGGAGGCACTGGGCCCTTTTAGGTTAGTAACTAACCAACCAAGGGTTGGGAAGACAATCCGTGAAAAGATTAGCGACAGTTGTTGTATTTCCAAAAGAAAGATATATTACTGCCTCAGATTCAAGTACAACGCATGTTCCCTTCGGTAAAGCACGATAAACTCATCAAAGATCTAAGCTTTCTCATTTTACTTATACTACTGTCGTGGCAGAGGAAATAATTAAAAACTGCGTTGCGATACGATTTCCTTGTTTACTTGGATATCTATGGAAACAATGGTTTTGTTCTCTCAATTATGTGCAACACTTATGTTTTTACTTGAGGTTTTATTCGGAGTTATCGAGCATTTCCCATGCTACT